CTTTTCTGATGAAGGGTCTAGGCCCGAAACGTCAGCCTCTCTGCTCCTATGATGCTGCTTGGCCTGCTGTGTTCATCCAGCCCTGCACCTTGTTGTCTCATAGTTAAAGCACATTTTGTTTTCTTAAAATATCAGTATGTCTCATGGGTCACGATACTATTTTCTTCAAAGACCTCTCCCTCTGATGTCCTACTTTTAGCCTGGATGCATACTGAACCATATTGTAGTTTGAGCCTCTCCAGAAATGGCTACACGTTGCATCCATAATGTCTAAAGACATTGGATCAAATTCCACGTCAGCATACAACTGTACACCTCACTGCATAGAATCCTTTCAGTGTGAAAGCAGGCTATCCGGCCCATCAAGTCCACACCGACCGTCCGATAAGCATCCCACCCAGACCCACCCCATCCTTGTAACCCTGCATTTCCCATGGTTAATCCACCTAATTTGCACATCCCTGAACACTACAGGCAATTTAGCACGGCCAATTGACCTAGCCCGCACATCTCTGAACTGTGGGAGAAAACCAGAGGACCCGCAGGAAACCCACGCATTCCGGGAAAATGTGCAAACCCTACACAGACAGTCGCCCAAGGCTGGAATCGAACCTGGGTCCCTGGTGCTATGAGGCAGTAGTGTTAACCACTGAGCCACCGTGCCGCCCTTTGGGTCCTCCTACTTTCCCTGTCCTGGTATGTTGCTGATTTCACACCCACTGCTGGATGAGCTGGAATTTCCTTAAGTTAATCATTAGAAAGAATGAAGCAATTATTTTCAGTTCATAACACTGTACTGCCTGCCACAACCCTGCATTCCAGTTCCAGACTAAACTAGACTATTTGCAAATTTGTTGTCCTATAGAACCCTAACTAGAGCTTCTGGTCCCAGAGCCTCTCCATCAAAAAGACCTAACATTGCTGCCTCTGACTATGCCTCTGAGTGGCGCCCTGGAACATTTTGTTGTGAAAGACGTTGCATAAATACAAGATAGCTCCAAGACGGAAAGAACCAAATGAAAGATGAAAAAAAATCTTCCATGTTACTCATCCATTTACTAGCTGAAACGTGACTGCAAGTACTTAAAGAAACAAGGCCATGATGTCCCTGAAATGGTGATTACCGCATGCTGCAGGATAAAGTGAAAGGTGCAGGACAGGAAAACAGTTAGGAAGTCACAAAGGCTCTGGTAAAACACTAAATTTGTTTCATGTTTTTGTTATTAAATTCACACATCACTTAAAGATGCTTTACAGTATAGTTAATGGTCAGGTGGCACAGTGTCAGGGACCCAGGTTCGATTCCAACCTTGGGTGACTGTCTGCATAGAGTTTGCACACATTTCCCACGTCTGTGTGGGTTTGCTCTGGTTTCCTCCCACTGTCCAAAGATGTGCAGGTTATGTGGACTGGCCATGTTGAATTGCCCCATAGTGTCCAGGGATGTGCAGGCTAGGTGGATTAGCATGATAAATGTGAGGTTAAGGGGAATAGGGTGGGGTACTGGATCTGGGTGGGATGGTCTTCAGAGGGTCGGTGCAAACTCAATGGGCAAAATGGCTTCTTTCCCCTGTAAGGGTTCTATGATCTCTAATAGCCAAATGTGTGAGTAAAAATAAAATTCAGTTGCACAATGCAAGGAAAATAATCACACTGCACAAGAACAAGCCACTTCAAACACTTTTAGCCACTAAGGTTATAGCTTCATTGTAAAAACAACTTTATTTAAAATGAATACAATTAGATTTGTTTCTCTCTTTCTAGAACTAGATTGCAGGTATTTTTATAACCCTAGACGAAATGGATTTCAATGAAGCTGCATCACTCAGTTGGAACGAAAAACCTAGTTTATTCTCAAATACCATAATTAGTTTATAGCTTGATTCCTTGCAGGCTGCTTTCCACATGCAACCATCTGTAACCAACACTAATCAATGATGTAGTTCATGGAAGAGTCTAACAATACATTTCAATTGGTATCCGTATTTCTGAAATACTAAGTAGCATACCATTATTAATAACCCTTGATGTTCTGAAGAGCTACCTTGCACCATTTCTGTGACCGTTACAAGACTAAACTATAAGCAATGAGGATCAAGAACAAAAAATACAAGAGAAAAACAATGGAAATGAAGTAGTAAAAAAGGCAGAAAAGTGAAGGCCAAGGCAAACCACACTGCAAACTCCATCAAGCAATCGCACAGCACTTAATAGTTAATGATGTGGTTTCAAAGAGTCATTGAGATGTACATCATGGAAACAGACCCTTCCGTCCTCCTCTTCCATGCTAACCAGATATCCTAAATTAATCTAGTCCTGTTTACCAGCAATTGGCCCAAATCCCTTTAAACCCTTTCTATTCATGTACCTATGCAGATGCCTTTTAAATGTTGTAATTGTATCAGCCTCCACCACTTCCTCGGGCAGCTCATTACACACACACACACACACACACACACACACACACACACACCACCCTCTATGTGCAAAAGTTGCCCCTCAGCTCTCTCTGTCCCTCTCACCTTAAACCCATCCCCTCTAGTTTTGGACTCCCCTACCCTGGGGAAAAGACCTTGGCTATTCACCCTATCCGTGCCTCGTGTGATTTTATAAACTTCAATAAGGTCACCCCTCAGCAAAGTGTTGTCGCTATCGGTAATGTAAGAATCATGACAGTCATTCTAGACACAGCAAGGTCTCACAAACAACAATATGTGAACATCCTGGTATTGTTTCTTGTGATGTTGTTTAAGAGATTAATACTGGGTATAATTCCACTACCTTTCTTCAAATAATGCAAATTAAGTTCATTAGAGGAGGAAGACAGGGTCAGCTTATTGTTTCATTTGAAAAATGATATCTCGGTGTCAGTGCAATGTTTTCTCATGCTGCATTAGAATACCTATCCATGCTCAAGTCTATGCAATGGGACCAAATTCCAACCCTTTTAATCCAGAAACAAGAGCGTGAGCAACTGAGCCACAGCCGATACCAGAGGAAGCTGGTATAACTATACAATAAATCTCAGGGGGGCATCATTTTTAAATTGTACTTCCTAAAAAGAACAGTCAGGGAAGATTTCTTCCATGCACTGCATTTATGATATGGCACACAGGACCACAAAGACCATCTCCCAATCTATTATACAGCTTGATTAAAATTCTAATGAAACCTTTTAAGTTATTCCTGTTACAAGCAATTCCCCAACAAATGACAGCTCAAGACAAGTGTGTATTAAAAATTAATGCAGAGATTTACTGTGCAAATGTTAGGTAGCTTTCAACACATTAGTTCATAATACAGGAGAATTAATATTTAGAAAAAAAGATTTTATCTTGGCAGGTCTGTTTTATTCTTCAAAAGTTGTGCATCCTCTGCACACCGTAGGTATATGGCCTGGTTGAATGGAGTATACATGTAGCAACGATGATCATGGTATTACAAATACTCATTCACACGTGCTCTCACATTATTTAAATGCCCGAGCACTGCACCACTGAAATAGTTATATTTTCATCCGAAAACAAAACTGACCTTGAATGCCTACTCCCAAATGTGATGCCATAATAATGCCTGGGATCGGCAGGTGGGAGTAGGGTGTGTGGTGATACATATTATTTGAAGAGTAAAGATGGCTAATTATACAGATCAACTTGGGAATTTGCAATAATTATTAGTTTCCCGTGGTGCAAAAAGGCCAAGGCAAGTAGTTGCTAAGCACTGGATGCTGAACTACATGTAGACTATCACTGTTCTTCATTCTCCATACTCCATAGGGATATAACAAAATAGTATCAATTTAGAAGGGGCAGGTGCCACAAAGCCTGTTGACAGGAATGATCTGCTAAAGGCATTGTCATGTACTGCTAATTAATCCCAACAGCGAAGCTGACTAAACATTTCACGCAGCAGCTTTCTACAAACTCAACCAGAAATCTGGAGATAACCATCAAATGGATAGCATGGCTGTAAATCTGCTCCTAGGCTTCCTCCTGCAAGATGATATCAGTGAAGAATGCACTTGAACTTTTAGTTAATGCTTCCTGTTGGTTTCAACTTAGACAAGTCTAGTTGAATAACTCCGCTTTAGTCATTACCAACCCTCAGTCACATCTTTCCTCTGACAGATGTGCTCACCCAGCATTTTATACAGATTTATTTTTACCTATAGTCTACAGCATCGAAACAGGCAATTTGTCTTTATTCAACCTGCCAATCTCCCATTCCTATTCATCTAACCTAGTCCGTATATACCATTCCCCTTGTTTGTGTTTATCTTCATTTTATATGCATCTATGTTGCATGCCTTAATTAATCTTACTGATTATGAGTACAGCATTCTACCACTTTTTTGGTAAAGATACACGGAGTGGTTTTTGCTTGTGGTCTTGTGTCAAAAGAAAATATTCAACATTAGCAATGAACAGAGGTAATTTCATTCAAGCTTCCTGCATTGTTTAGGATGCTGAGCATGGATCAAATTGTCGAGTGTTACTTGTGTAAAAGACATGGCCTTAACTAGGAATTCATCTGCATCAACATAAGTAGACACAGGTTGAAATAATGGTTGTGGGGTTAGGAGGTGTATGTGTGAAATGTCTAATTAAATGCCTTTGAAAGCATGCAATGATTGACTTAACTTGTACCTTCTTCAAGTGGCTTTCTGCAGTGTAACAAGTCAGTAATAGGTAGTACAACAGCTTTATGAGGTATTGACTAATGCAAAGCAAAGGATCCCAAGGTAATTTCCAATCTGTGCCAAGATACTCAATATGTAGAGGAGACCATGGAAGACTGGGATCAAACAGTTATATCAGTTTTGCAGCATGGCTGGTACAGATGAAAGAAGCATCTGTTTAGTACTTCCAACACAATGGCAGCAACATGTGGATGGTGAACACATTGATATCATAGCACATGGGTTCTGTGCTCCAAACTGTGCCACGCTTCTACGTGTCATTCAAAACAGGGCTAATATTCTTGGCCATGATTTTAATAGTCATATAACACCTATTTGATTTGAGCAGTGTAAGATGCATGTATTACAATTAGGTATCTTTCATTTTTCTGCTGGTAAGGCTAAAAAAAACTCCTGTAGTATAGGTCAAGTTGTACAAATCCTCTGTTAGAGAAATGTTAGCTCTTTTCTTTCTCTCCACAGGTGCTGCCAGAGCAGCTGAGTTTCTTCAGCACTTTGTCTTTGTTTCAGATATGGGACCAGTTGGCCAAACAGCTGGCCTGCTCTACTGTACATTCAATGCAATTCTGCACAATTCACTCAGAAGAAACTAATGCTAATACTTATATCAGTAATCATTAAAACAAATGGAAAGTTTAACACACTGACCTGGTTTCTAAAATTGGAAACCATTCTCTGAATTGTCAATTAAATTTCAGCATAATGGCACTTTTGAGTATCTTAGGGGTTTCAGCTCCAATACTGGCCTCCTATGAAGTCATTCATAGTAGTATCAGAAACCGATTCAGAAAGATACTTTCTGTTTTTATTATTCAGCTATAATAGCACAAGAACAAATCTGACCTTTCTAAAATGCCTTATGAACTACTGAAGTCATTAGGAACAACTGAAGGAAATCTCAATGCCCTTATTTCTCTAGGATTTGTTGATCTGCAAAGTTTCAACAGATAACTTACTCTGTCGTATATTTATGATGTTCTCAGTCAATAAAACAGCTGTTTACTTGCATACTGTGAAGTCTGTAACAGGCGTGAATCAATACATTTCATCCACTATAATTATAATAGATTACCAAAACATTGTTATTGCGTATTTGTTTGTCCGGGTCTGTCAATGTCTGTGCAACATTCCACTGAAATGAATAGGGCATATTCTGGTTTGCAGAGTACAGAGCAGAATACCCAGTATTTCAGTTCAGAAGTATGGAAACTGATCTATTCAGATCAGGCTGGGACTAATCACTTCTGGAGTGGGGAATCTATACTGATTAACATAAATCAAGCAAATCAGAAATTTCATTCCTTGCAAGCCTTTTAATGAAGAGATATTCATTTGCTTTGACTTCGATGGAACATGTAATGGTAATTTATTTCATTACTCAATGCCTTCCACCTGCTAGCATGTGAAAGTGTTAATCACAAAAATATGAACACTTGGATTGTTTTTTTGACACCAGTATGTATCAGCAACTGCTCATTGCCAGCTGGATGCCATTCATAGGCATTTCAATATCTTTGCTGCTTATTAATATAATATGACCTTTAAATCAAACAGAATGGTGGGAAAATTGCTGTTCACTGGGATGTGGACAATCGCCATTTCTACATTGAAATGGTGGCTGCAATTATTAAACAAACTGTCTGTTATAAATTCAGGCTACCTGCAGTAAATATTGTTTTTTGGATAGTTTATTGCTTATTTGCATGTTATGTAAATTTATTACAACTAAAACCCTACTATAACAAACAGTCCAACACAAGGGTACCTCAACATAGCAGGAAAAACTCTTACAACAGAAGCTGGGATTTAGGCACATCTATACATTATTAACTATGCAGACCGTCCTGTCACATGTATGAGTGACACATAGGGAAGATAACAAATTGCTGCTGCTGAAAAGAAAACAATTGCTCCTTTGCTAGAGCTAATATTAACCATCCGAGGTTACAGCAAACACAGTGTATCCA